CTGGGAGACCCTCAACATCCCGTCAGTCCGAGAGTCCCAGTGTGGCATTGGGAGTGCCAAGTCCTGGTGAGTCCCGTTGCTGGTCCAGGAGTCCCGGTGCTGCTCGGGGAACCCCGATGCACGGCCAGCTCCAGTGCCGGTCTGGAAGTCCTGGTGCCGATCTGGGAGCCCCGTGCACAGCCAACCCCCAGTGCCAGTCCAAGAGTCCCAGTACTGAGCCAGGACCCCTGCGCACGGCCAGCCCCCAGTGCAGTTCGGGAGTCCCACTGCCGCTCCGGTGATGCTGGGCTAGCCTCAGTACCAGTCTGGGACCCCCGGAGCACAGCGAGCCCCAGTGCCAGTCCAGAAGCCCCATGCTCACAGCAAGACCTGCTGCCAGGCCAGTAGCCCCGATGTCAGGCTAGCCCCAATGCTAATCTGGGAGCCCAGCGGCATGGCCAGCCCCGGTGCCGGTCCAAGATTCACAGTGGTGCTCCGGAACCCCTGAAGCATGGCCAGTCCCGATGCCAACCTGGGATCCCCGAGAGGCACAGCAAGAGCCGGTGCTGACCCAGGACTTCCCGTCTCACGGCGATACCCGGTGCCGGTCTGGGAGCACCGAGTCCATATCAAGCCGTGGTGCTGGTGTTGCTCCAGGAGTCCCAGTGCTGGGCTGAGGGCTCCAAGGCGCGATGAGCCCTAGTGCTTTCTTGGCTGGACTGGGGTGGGGTGGGCTACCAGGGAGCCACAGCTGAGCCCGGGCTGTGCGTGTGGGTCCCCCATAGCCCCAGGAGCACCCAGAGCCCATGGAGAACACCCTGCCTCATGGCCAGGCCCACACCATGTCCCCATTGCCCCCCTCTCCTATATGTCATTGGAGGTCCTAGTGGGGGCGTAGCCTGCAACCAATGTCCGGTCATGAGTGGGGTGTGGGGGGGACATTGGAGGGAACCCTTCTTCCCCCTGCAAGCCTGGCTGAGTGCAGCTCACCTGCCCCAAATACCAGCTCCAGGAAAGCTGCTTCTACCAGGGCTTTGGGTTTGGCAGACCATAGAATAGAATAGTTGGGTGGGAAGGGACCTTTAAAGGCCATCTAGTCCAACCCCCCTGCCATGAGCAGGGACATCTTCGACTAGATCAGGTTGCTCAGAGCCCCTGACCTGGTGGGCCATCTCCCATCTCTGGGCAACCTGGGCCAGTGTTTCACCACAGATGGCACAGGAAGCTCTCGCTGTTGCGTAGTATTTCCCCAGTCATGACCCTGATCCTCTCTCCACCTTGCTGAGAGCAAAGCCTTTGCCCTTGGCCTCCGAGCTGGGATCCGGCTCAGCTGGGGACCAGGCAGGGCTCAGGTGCACCCCTTCATCCACGACCTGATGGGAAACCCTCCTGGCAAAGTGCTCTGGTGCCCCCAAACCCCAGTGAAATGATGCAGCATCAATCAACTCCAGCATGGACACAGCAGGTTGCTGCCACCGGCACATTTTGGCTGTTATTTTTTAAACCATGTTTTTGTAACAGGAACTTCGTAAAGGAAATATGGTATTCTGCAAACTCCAGGGCCGGGTGAGCTGCGGTTTGTGGCAGCACCTCCATTTCCGACGGGCTGCTCCTATTCCTCACTTTGGTTTCGTTCGTCATGCAGCTCGAAGGCTTCACCGTGGCGTGGAGGACCTGCAGTCCCAGCCGTTCCCGTGGCCAAAGCAGTGGGTGTGACGGAGGGGAAGGTGTTTTAGCTGACTCCCAGACCAACCCTCCACGCAGGCGGGCTGGAAAAACACCCATCCCAGGACCTCTTTTAACGCCCCCCTCCCAGGCCTGCAGTCCCCATCCAGCAGAGCACAGAACCACGTGGACCCATCCGATGGTGGGAGCGATCCTGTTGGCTTCCCAAGGGCTGGATGGGACCCTGCCACGTTCAGCCCTCTGTGGCATCCACAAAAATCAGTTTGAAGAATGGAGCTGAGGCCGAATCCTGGCCTGGTCCATCCGAGCAGCTTGCGGAGGCTGCGGTCTGCTCATCTGGAGACCTTTTCCGAGCAGAAGGCACCCTGCAGGGTGGTTGCTCCAAGGCTTTTCCCAGCCTCCCACTCCTTTCTGGTGTCTCGTGTCACAGCTCAGGAAGGGGTTTTGGCACCTTCTGGAGCTCATTTTCCTGGCAGCTAATGGAGCCTTAAATACCCATTTGGGGCTTCAGGCTTCTCAACCGGCAGTTGCCTCTGATGGGATATTTTTGCAATAATAGGTAAATTGCTGGGCTTTTTTTTTTTTTTTTTCCCCTCCCCTTTCTGAGCTCAAAACCAGGAACGTGCCACTTGGTACAATCTGTCCGTTTCTTGGGAAGTGTTTGTTGTCTTCCCTTTGCTTCCATGTTTATCTCGGGTGTCTTGCCTCTTACAAGGACCATATGTCTTCCCAAGGGTCATTGGCATTGTTTTCCCTAACAGAAGATTTCCAGGGTTGGCCCACTTGGGAAAAAAACCAAAACTCTGGGCTTGTAGGAAAGCTGTGTGAATTTCATATAAACCCTGCAGCCAAGAGGACTCAACCTCTGGAGTTGGCTGCTGATGGTTGGGGAAGGCGCTGGGATCCTGCTCCATCCCTGCTGGGTTTTCAAGGACATCTTCGGCACCGCGGGCGGAGAGGAGACCAGCCCTCCCGTGCGTGGAGGGACGGACTGCATGGGTGGATTTCCACCCTTTTAAACCCAAAACCCATCTTCCTTGCGTTTAGCAAAGCCAGACATCATTTTTCTTCCAAAGCCTTCCCAGCTCCGTCCCTTATTTCACGCACCGGTGCTGCCAGCAGCCCCACTTACCCCCCCAAGCCCCGAAAAAGCATGGCAGGTCCGGTTTTCAGTGCCGTGGCTCGCCATCCTGTGCAAGCACCTGAGTGCACGGGTTAAAAAAAAAAACAACAAGAAATCCAACCGCTCACCGGCTGGTTGCCTCTTACACCCCTGCGGGCTGAGCGCCCTGGCTCGGGTGCCTGGCAGCCCCGGTGCTGCTGCCTGCCCAGGCACGCGCCTTCCTGCTGCCAGAACGGCCGAAAAATGCAGGCAGACAATAAAAGAAAAAAAAAAAAAGAAAAAAAAAGAAAAAAAGAAAAAAAAAAAAAAAAAAAAGAAAAAAAAAGAAAAAAAGAAAAAAAAAGAAAAAAAAAGAAAAAAAAAAAAAGAAAGAGCTCTTTGCAAGAACTAAACAATTTGCCGGGAAACGAGCTTGTGCAAAGTTGCGCCTGGATTTCACGCGGTGAAAAAGAAAAGCCCTCCCCGTGCTCGATTTGTGCCCAGGAAAGGAGCGGGATGCAGGGTTAGGTGATGCCGGTGACACCGGTGACACCGTGAGCGTGGGACCAGGCAGCCGGCGGTGCCGGCGGGCAGCGGGCACGGCACAACAGCTCCGGAAAGAGCATCGTCGGTGTGAGCTGCAGCCTTGAGGCGAGCGGCGTCTCTTTATTGCCTCCATTAAGCATTAGGTCCGTCCCTTGGAGGCTCCCTGGCACAGGAGCGATCTGGCATGGAGGGGTCCGCGGGGAATGAGGGAGCAGTGCCTGGGAGGAGGATGCAACCGGGGAGCAGCGCTCATCTCCTCGGCGTTTGGCCGGAGAGCCCCGAGCCTCCGGGATTTGTCGATCCCTGTTTAGCGACATTTACAACTAAACTTCATCTTGCGGGGATTTTTTTAGTTTTATTTTCATTTTTATTTTATTTCCATTTTTACTTTTTTTTTTTTTTTTTTTTTTTTTCAAGCTCAGAAATAGGAAAGGGCTCGGAGCTTTGATGTAACTCCC